AAGGTGATTGTGATTCAGCTCACATTTACGAAGGGATGACGCAAGCTGGAACTATTTCAGCTCACACCCACGAAGAGATAATGCAGGCAGCACCGTTTTCAGCTCACACTTATGAATGTTCGATGCAGCCAAAACCGTCTTCAGCTCACACTCACGAATGGATAATGCAGGCAGGACCATCTTCATTTCACATTTACGAAGGGATGAGGCAAGCAGGAACAATTTCAGCTCACACCTATGAAGATATAACGCAGGCAGCACCGTTTTTAGCTCACAATTATGAATGTTCGATGCAGGCAGGGCCGTCTTCAGCTCACGTTTACGAAGGAATGACGCAGGCATGGCCGTCTTCAGCTCACATTTGCGAAGGAATGACGCAGGCAGGACCACTTTCAGCTGACATTTACGAAGGGATGACGCAGGCAGGACCACTTTCAGCTGACATTTACGAAGGGATAACGCAGGCAGGATTGTCTTCAGCTCACATTTGCGAAGGGATGACGCAAGCTGGAACTATTTCAGCTCACACCCACGAAGAGATAATGCAGGCAGCACCGTTTTCAGCTCACACTTATGAATGTTCGATGCAGGCAGGGCGATATTCACCTCACACCCACGAATCGATGATGCAGGCAGGATTATCATCAGCTCACACTCACGAATTGATGCTGCAGGCAGGACTGTCTTCAGCTAACACTCAAGAAGGGATGATGCAGGCAGGACCGTCTTCAGCTCACACTTAAGAATGCACAATGCATGCAGGTAGGACCGTCTTCAGCTCACTTCGAAGATTGCACAGTGCATGCAGAACCGTCTTCAGCTCACACTGACGAAGGAATGATGCAGGCAGGATCTTCCTTAGTTCAAAACCGAAGTCCAACTCTGAATGAACAAAGAGCAGACGAAGTGAGGAGGAATAAAAGAAAACAATATACGTCGATAAAATCAATTTGAACATCAATTCAAAAATTTATTAGAATAATTATAAAATTCTGTAAAGCAAAAATACAGATGAAAGGAACATATTTAAAATTTTACTTATATAAGCAAATTTTTTTTATGATTCTAACTGATTTTTATTGAATATTTGTATTTTGAATAATTTTGCGATTAAAAACAGCTTTTATTTTATTGAAAATTTATTATTTTATTGATTTAATCGAAGGGAAACATTCAAGCGTTAAGACTACACCACAGCGATAACATAGTCCAATTTCAGATAGGCATTATATGCAAGAGAAAGAGTCAGTGACTTATTTTGGAAGACTTGTGCTTCGTTGAGGCAACATAATTCAGTCTCGTATTTTAGTACTTTGGTATATACAAAATTTAATTTAAGGAATAAAAAGATTCGAAAAAAGTAGAATGATGTCTCTATGCACGGTCCTTAACAAATTCGGCTCCTTGTCTCACACATATTGCAGTTACGCGATTTGATCACACAACATTAGTAAGTGTTGAGCATTTCGTAAAATTAGCAAAGATTTAAATATATTTGGTAAATGTGTATTTAGGGATCGTTTATAAATTTACTAACTTAACACTATGTTTATGTCTTTCAACAACTCCATTACTTTCCTAACGCGTGCACATGTGCACTTTAAAATTACATATCCTCAATCCGAATGGACTCATAAGTGTATTAATGATCGGTAATTCATTTCACTAAGTTTTATTGAGTTACTTAACTTCCCGAAACTTCCAGACAGTGATAGTTAACGTTTGGCAAGCCGACGCAGTTGTTATTTAGTCTGTTGGCGGATCAGAAGTAAGTCAATTTGTAATTACAATGCAGTATAAAAAACTTGAAATTTTCCCAAATATGTAAAGAATGGTTAAAACAGTGTTTTTCAACCTGTTAGTCACGATCCTCAGGCGGTCGCAAAGCCTTACACGGGGAATCGCAGTGAAAGAAATAGACAAGTATTTGTAGGTCCTACACTCCAATAAAAAAAAAATAGAATTTCAGTGAGAAGACTGTGCCTGTTTATTTTACTGTAGAATTGGTTTTTCGATTGATATTTAAAAGAAAAAAAATTAAATACGTAGTTTTTAAAATAATTAATATAATTTTAATATGGCCCTGGGGGTCGCCAAAATTTTTTAACTTGTAAAGGGGTCGAATATTCAAGAAGGTTGAAAAACACTGGTTTAGAAAACACGACACGTGAGCGATGCCTTTCAAAAAGACATTCATAGGAAACTGACCTCTATTTAAGTGTTATACACGTGAAGATAACACGTAACCAGCCCACGCAAGGCTAGAACCCACAATCAACTATTAGATTTTAGTAATTTTATTCATTAGGCAACTGGAGGAATGTTGCTTTATTGTAAATTCAAGATCTTTAACGCTCCAATCAATTGAGATAACGTGTTTTTGTTACCTGATCATATGCCAGTTTGGAGACAAAGAATGATGTGTAAACCATTATCAGTGAGTATTAGTTAAGACCTAAGCTTTGAAACGAGATTACGATGGTATTACAAAAGAAACAAACATACGTAATTACTCTCAGAATTAGCGCTAGCATCCTTTTTTCGATAACATAAAAGACAAAAATTCAATACTCTCAGATCTCAGTATTCTCGAAAGAATACTGAGATCTGAGAGTATTGAATTTTTCATTATTCTAATAATGAAAAAATTGGATTATCGAAAGTGGACACAATCAATCGAAGTGGTGACATTCCTCTTTTCTTGCACTTTTCTGAACGCCATATTTAAACTTTAAAATGTGGAGAAAAGCCAATTAAGCCACATGCGATGTTTAGTTTCTGTCGTGTGATGCAGACAGAATTAAGCCAATTACAGTCATGTTGAAATCGCTCAGTTCTCAGCTGCACATTTACGTTACAAGTAAGTAGTAGTGTGTCGAAAAGCAAGGTGGCTTCCTCCATGGTTTTTGTAATTTCGTATCAATGCCCGTTATGTCGTTATACGAAAGAAAGTGTAGAAATTGTAAAAGTGTTGGTTTTATAATAGGCAAGTGTTATCTCAATTTTTTTCGAATGGTAAGCTATCCTTTTAATTTATTCGTGGCTACTTTGAATTCTCAGTCGTAAAGAAAATCCAGTTGGTGGTTAAATTTTACAATTGGAACCTATCTTATAACTTTTGTTTTTCAAAAGTCAAAAAAAGAGTTAAAAATTATTAAAATTCCACTCCAAAATAAATATGAATAATTTAACTTTATACAATGTGTAACAGAATTGTAAGGACAACTGTTAAGTTTTAATTTCTCAACTTCAATTTGTAATATTCTTTTTGAGAATTTATATACATTATAATAATACATCTGCAACAAATGGTGAGTTTTCTAATTGAATTTTCACTTATTTTTCTCAATACTAAATTTGTTGTTGTCTATTTTCAGCTGTATGATACTAAAAATATAAACAAAATTGTAGAACAATACGTGATTTAGAAAACAGAATATTTTTTAGGACGTGGTGTTATCGTAACAACATTGCTTGGAGTTCGTCCTGATACAGGATCACGTTTAACTCTTAGTAGTGATAGCTGATCAGCTGCATTTACTCTGCCTGAAGACTTGCCATCTTCACTGCCTGAAGTATCTCTATCTCCAGTACATCTGTCTCAAGAGGAAGTCTGTTGCAGGCATTGAACGTGAGGCAGTAAACCAGCAGCAGCATGAAAAACGTCTGCAAAGGAGTAACAAATCTAATAATTTATTAAAACGGTTCATAGAAAAAAATAAGATAACAAAATAAAAAAATAAATAAAAGTAATTTTTAACCTTTTTCCTTAGTAGAAATTTTTATAAACTGTATGCAAAATGTTCGTAATTAACCTATATTTTATATCTGTTAATACATGCCTTAGTAGTGGGATTCTTTGCTTATTACTAAATGTTTTTTGGTTTATATTGCAAGTTTATTTTTATTGGATTATAAGTTTTCAGAAATTCAAACTGGCTTTGCATTTTTACCTTGCTTTTGCTCAATGACACGTGATCTTAGATATACTCAAAGGTTATGAATGGCTGGATCCTGGAAGGCATTAAAAATGTTAGTTGTTATACATGTATATAATACCAAAACTTAGGGTAAGAAAAATTGATATACTTGTTCCAGTTCAATATTTTCATCTTGTAGGATCTCCCCTCTTGTAATGCAAATGTGTAACACACAAGAATCCATTACAACAGATGGTACCGACAATCCATTTTTTACGTGACTAAATAATGCAGTCTTCTCCACCTTCGTTTGAGGTAAACAAATAATCGTTCAATTACTCTTCTAGCTGATAATTTTTAATTGTAGCCTCATGTGTCCGGTGTCAGGATAAGGTGTTATCAAATGCTAATTGATTGCATAAGCACTATCTCTAATAATAAGAAAACAGTGTTTCGGCTTTCTTTGCTATTATTTCAAACAATGAAGAGCGGGCACAAACGTCGGATCATGGACACGGCCACATTCACCGGTGTGAGGATAACCGGGGGTAGAAGTATATAAGGTCTCTACCAACGTAATCCTTTTGGATACCTAGCTGTCGATTTTCATAAGGTATTTTGTATACTCCAGCTTGTTATTCTTTAGTTTGTTTTTATTATTTTCAAATAAGTTATAAATGTTATGAGCACTTTTGTAAATTATCTTCGAGTTTTTTGTTTGTTGCCAGCTCATTTATAGTGCCTCCCAACTGTTTGTTGTTAATTTGGTGATTCTATCGATGCTTTTTGAAAACTTAACTTCGTTTTATTGATAATTTCTGAAACGAGCCCTTCTATAGGCGATGTTTTATACCCTAAACCAGGGGTCGCCAAACTTTTTTAACCGTCGACCCCCAATCACTTTCCAAAGCCTCACATTGACTCCCACCGTAAAGTTTTATTACAAGTGTATGTGTATAAGCAAGAAAAAAAACGCGTTGTGGTCTCTGTGTAAGCAAACAAACAAAAAAAAAGGTTGTGACCCCTTACCCACATCGGCCCCTCAATCGACTCCCTAGCTACATCGGCCCCCCAATGATGTTGCATCGATTCCTTGGCGACCCCTGCCCTAAACTTATAGTTTAAGTTTATTTTTATTTATTCTTACCCTTATAATATATTTGAGATGATTTGATAATAATAATAAACGCAAAACCTAAACGGTTAGAAGTCGACAGTTTAAATTTGGTACACAATTAGAGTATGCCATGAGAATGCTCATTAAGCAGGGATTTTTGGCAATTTCCCCGCGGGAAAAAGAAGGGATAAAAATTATTTTTAAAAAGTCGGCTTTACTGTACTATTTTAGATGAGCTTTTTTTTGCGTGTTTGTGAGAAATCGAACATATTTTTAGAGCCATCTACAAATTCTCTAATTAGTCTGGGAAGAGGAATAATCTAATTTTTGCAGCCGGTAAAAATGGGTAAGATCGACTTGAATCTAATAATCTTAATCTTCGCTATCGTTACTTTCTGCCCAAGCAACGCCAGGAACATCTGCTAGTATTTTTCATAAGTTATTTAGTTAACTCGTTTACATTTAAATTTGTATTTAGAATTCCTGAAAAGTTCAAATTTGTGAAACAGATTCCTTAAAATGTTTTAAAAAACCTAATGATGTCCTATAGGATTAGGCTGAAAACGTTAGTAATTAAATACATTGAATCTCTCAGTAAATACATACCTGATTGTATATTTGTAATTTATTCTCTGCTGTGCACGTTTGAACTGTATTTATGTTGAATGCTTCAAATTTCTCATTATGCACTTGTCTATAACTGATT